GTAACGGTAACATTCCTCGTCTAGTGATGATATCATGAAAAGTTTTGTTTGGAATAAGAAGACAACTCTTCGCTAGTGTTATTTTCTAGCTTTAACTCTCTCAGAATAATACGCCGCTTCAGCATTAAACGGTGCTTCACTCTTAGTCTTATAAAAATATCATCAAACTGACTCAATAGGGTTCCTCATTACTGCTCTTATGGAGAATATCATAGCACATCTTTTAAAAAATGGCAAGATTATGTGATTTATTTGTGCTGAGTTACTCATAAAACATTAAATGTTACAGTCATTATAACTCACCTGGTATAAGTACCAAATGACTTTTTAAAGTACAAATACAAGTACAAACACAAAGTACTTTCATTTCGACTAATTTTCAACGTTGCAAACATGATCATTTTTTTGTTAAGTGATCGATTAGCTGTTTTTTAATGTCATAGATTAAAGAAAATAGTTTTCGTTAGAGCATCTTCAAGTTATGAATCGACAGGTAATAGGCAAACTGATTTCTTTATTTTCCCATTCTTCTAAATTCAGCTAAAATTTTCTTTATTGAAATCTTATGAAGTCTCTTGAAGATGTTCTGAAATCTGAAAATGTAGTATTTCATTTCTGTTTTTTCTACTATAATATTTCTTACCAAATAATGTGTTTGATGGATCAACATGCACCTATAAATAGTTTTTATTTAACGAAAAATTATATATATGCATGTATCTGGAGATAGTTTTAGCATTAACTTCATTTTAGAATTTAACCTGTAGGTAAATTCACGCTAGAGATATATTTTTTTAAATATTATTCTTGTTACATTGACAGTTATTTTACTTTAAACTTGCATGTAAATGATAATTTTTCATCAGTATGACTTAAAATTTAGTTAATATTCAACAAGTAATTATCAAAGTATTTTCTATGGTACTGCTGTCTTTACACATCTTTAGATCCTATATATATTTTAAAAATATTTAGTTCCAAGGTGGTTTTTTTTATACAGACATAGTAGTTTAAGTGTAACACATTAAGGAATAACTATCAGATATTTCATAGATAAGCTAATCATAAGATGACAGAAAAGAAAATTAACAAAAAAGAAATTGCCTTCTCATCATTATAAGTCTTCAGCTTCTTTCAACAACAGCAATGTATTATCTAAAGATATGACGAGGTACTTGAAAATACTACCGTTATTTATGACATGCTGCGCATAGGCCATAACTTTCATTATCATTAAATCTTGATTATCATCTTCAACTCTAAAGAAGCAATGTTGATTATCGAGAGAACTACGCTAACTGAAACGTGCCATTTGAACTAATATTAGATTCAGAAGGAGGTTTCGATAAGACTAGAAAAATCTTAACAGAGTTCATGGCAATAATGACTTTGGGGGCTGTGTTATGACCGTTTTATTCAATTGTCATTTGTCGAGATATTGAATTTCTAACAAATAATCATTTATCTTAAAAATTGAGTCTATTTGAAAGTTCAATATTCCGACAGGAAAACATTTTTTTTCTATAAAAACTTTCAAGATATTCTAAGGATTATTAGGTCTATCTACGAGCAAAATTTTGTTTGAAAATAATGTTTCCTAAATAGAAAATTCAATAAACCGATCCGAACTTCAGCTTTAAAAATTCATGAGGACAAACTCATTTAAGCGTTTTCTAATATAACCACTGCTTCCTTGTGGACTCAATTATGAACTCAAATTAGTATTTTTATATAAAATGTTGTTATTTTGTAAAAATTTAGTAACATGATTCATTGAGTTTTTTTCCGTTTTCTTGTGCACTTGCTCATAATCGGAGTCATTATTTACTCATGACTCTGTTAAAGATAAGTATTAACATTGACATACGTCAAGCGCACATTTCTATCTATTATATCAGTAACATTTTCACATGTGACAAAAAGATTTAATTAAATGTCTCGAACAGAGATATCTGTCGCAGCTAGAAATCTACTGTTGCACCGTCACGATGATAATACACCCGTCCATCCACTGTTGATACTCCTTCAGAATTCTTAAGGACTAATATATCATACACATAGATCGCCATAACACTGATAAAAAAAGAAAAGTTCACGCACCAAGATGATATTCAAAAAAAAAACCATCGTTCTGGACATCTGTGAATTCTACCTATTTACAAAATAAGAAGTATTCGATAGAGACGTGTTCAAATACTTAAATAGATATGTCCATCTTTAGAATTTGACTAGAAAAAGTGATCTTATTATTACTTTGTTGTGTGTATGAATACTATTTGAAAATCAAGAACTTTGTTTACAAATCATTTTAAAAAAATATTATCTATTGAGCAGTTGTGGTTGGAATTCGAGACGGAACTGATACCGATTACCGATCAATGCCAATGCACATTTCAGACCTGCCGATAGGCCGATCGTTAGAGTAATTTAGCGTTGTTGAAACTTGACTATGTCAAATATCATTATCCACAGATAGAATAGTAGGACATGGTTTAATAAACAATAAGTTTGCATATCGAAAATCTTTTCTATAATTATTTATCCAAATTATCCACTAGTGATTCTGTAAATGCCTCATTTTGTTCTAAACTTATTCAATTGAATTTTTATATCTTTTAATTAATTATCTTCATTTGAAGTAGTTAACTCTAAATGAATAAATCATTTAAAACATAATATTCATGTTTCTCCTTCTTATTTTTTGTCTTTATCAATAAAAGTCAACAGAAAATTAAGAAACGAATAGATACCAACATTGACACACATACACAATAGAGAAAAGACCAATAAAAAGGAGAAATTTATTTATACAGATAGGCCAAAGAATATGAAGTTAAAGAAACGAAAAGAAAAAGTGTTATTGTTATGGAATGAAGGAAAAAATAAATAAAAGCTTTTATCATTGCCCATATAGACATAGGAGTTTTTTTTTTCAAAATGCGATGACTGGTTTTTATTTATGAACGACTGTTCGATTTAGAATGTTGAATAAGCCATTGAAGTGTTATATCTAAAGTATTACAAATAGATAAATAAAATAAAATAAATGAAAGTATTGTTATCTTTTTATTTGGTATTTACCAATATTTTCCTTTTCTTTGCATGATATAGAATAGCAACAAATTTCTCGATCTTTTATTGGAGAAAGATCCCTAAAAAGAAAAATGAAAAGGTTAAATCGAAGAAATTCTTATGTTCTTTTTTTATGTATTGCTTTAATTACAATCTTTGAATAAGTTCTTGTACTTCAAGTGCATTTGGTAAATCACGTTTGTTGCCAAGAACAAGTACGGGAATACCTTGAAGTTGAGGTTTTTCTAATAAATTACTAAATTCTTGTTTTGCTGCATCAAGTTTTTCATGATCAGCTGCATCAACCATAAATCTATTACAAAAGAAAAATCAATATAAGTTTTAATATCATATAATTCAATATACATACACTATAGCATTTACACCACGACAATAACGTTCCCACATACTACGAAAACGAGGTTGACCACCTATGATATATGAAAATACAAAAAAAAAACATAAACAAGAAGTTCATTGCGTACCAATATCCCAAATCTAAAAAAAAGAGCAAGTAATGCAAAAAAAAAGAAATAGAAGAACAAATGTTTACTTTAATTGTCACATTCCCTTTTGTAATTTTTCTCATATTAAAACCTACAGTTGGTATCATATCTTCAGAATATTGACCTGATGCAATTAAATTAACAAATGTTGTTTTTCCAGAATTTTGTAAACCAACAAGTGTTAATTCCATTTCTTCTTTCCAAAATAAACTTTTGAACCAATCAAGTATACGTTGTACAAAAGCAAACATTTTTCCAATAAATATTGTAAATCTGAAAATGATATGAAAATAAATCAAGTATATTCGTTGTTCATTTTTTTTTTGCTTTCTCATCATACTGCCAATTGAATGACTCATTACACGCGGTTCATGTCACACTAATAGTCGACATTATCAAAGTACAACTTCTTTTTTTTTTCTTTCCATATCTAGAATGAAGCGAATGTCGCTACTGGTGTAACTAGATGCATTATTGACTCAAAAGAACAGCTGACAAACGATCAAGTTATATTCTACGGATGCATTGGACGATACGACGAAAAATATTCACATTTTGTTTGAATATGACATTTTATTGGAGCAATTATTGAATGAATTAAATTTGACAAGAATATCATAATATGTATTTGCTATGAAAATTTGATCGATTAAGATGCATAGAAAAATAATTGTGTTTTTTTTAAAAAAACTTCAAGATTGATAAAGACAGATGATACAAATCGGTTAGTTCTTGCAAATCAAAGTTACTAGATTTTTTGAAGTTAAATTTGATATAATTAACAAAGAATATATCATAGATAATTTGTTCGAAAATGAAATCATGAATTTGAAAATATCAACCTTGTATTTGAGAACTCTTACTCATAAGCAAAGATGTGAAGGGTAACTTTTTCTCGTAACCTGACTATAGCTTGTCGGATTAGTTTAGATCTGAAAGTTTTGAACTCGACGGGCTATAATCCTTACCCTACCCTACTCATCACGGGGCATTGTTAATTGTTCAATTACTTTTACGCTTGACACTATTGCCATTAGATCAGACATGGCGAGTAATGACTTCCGATCTTCATTTATTGATTTATGAGAGTTATAGTTGATTTCTAGTGCATCAGCACAGAAAAGCAGGAAGTCAAGATGGTCGAACTTTTAGCTAAAATTTTTGTCTATAGACAAACCTTATTGTCACTAGGAATATCTCACAGTTTAAATTAAGACAAACGCATTTGTATTGAGATATGCGTTTGTCGTAGACAACTTTCAGCTTGAACTTTAATCATCTAGTTTTTCAGTTGCGCATAAGGCAAAAATCAAGTAAAATGTTCATAATTCATCAAGTATTGAATTATTTATTGAAAAAACAAAACATGTATTTACTATACGACTTTTGAAATTGTTTAATCAATAATTTGAATTTTTAGTAATGAAAAAAACAAAAGTATGTATCATTGGTGCTGGTGTAGCTGGTATGTCAGCTGCATGGTCATTATCTCGATATCCGGATAAATTTGACGTAACAGTTTATGATAAAAACTCTCAGGCAGGTGGTGTTGCAACAACTGAAAATGTTGAAGTCATGCCTGGTGTCTTCTGTGATATAAACGATGGTGTTCAAGGTGGTTCTTCTAGTTATCGAAATTCAATATTACTTCATCGTGAAGTTAATTTTGATCCAAGTCCTGTAAATATGCGTATTTCATTTGGACAAAATTCTCAAGCATGGACGAATTATTTACCGTCAGATACAAATGGTATTGATATTCAACAACTTGAATCTGAAATAGGACGATTTGGACGTTATTTAAAAATGATATCTTGGCTTGAACCTATATTTATTTTTATACCTATTTGGTTAACCGCTCGTATTTTTTGTCTTTCATCATGTTTTACAAATGCAATGCTTTATCCATTAACAGCTCTTTTTTTTGGTACAGGTAATCAAACAAGGAATGTAAGTTCAGCATTAATAGCACGTGTATTTTTTGATCCGAATTTAAAATTATTTGATTATAATTCAAAACGTCTTCTTCCATCACAAACTGATATGTTTGCATTTGATAAATTATCTAATATATATCAATCATTAGTTGATAAATGTATTCAATTAAGTCATAAACAAACAAAATTTTATTTTAATCAAACAATTCAAAAAGTATCATCGACAAATATTTATACAAATACAAATCAATATAATGATTCATTTGATATAATTATTTATGCATGTGATGCTGAAACAATTCTTAAAATTCATGAAAAACCAAGTCGATTTCAACAAGCTATACTTGGAAATGTTCGATATTATGATGATGTTACATATACACATATAGATCTTAATTATATAAATACACATTATACTGTTCATCTTGATATTGATCAATATTTTATTCATACAAATATGCAATCATTAGAAATGTCATTTAATTTATCAAATTATCAACCACATTTAATAGCATTAAAACGTGAAAAATATCCAAATTTAAATATATTTCAAACACTATTTTTAAATAAATTAGAATCAAAAAAATGGACTATTGAAAAATCAGATAAGAACAAAATTCTTCTTGAACGTTGGTGGAGACAATTTGCACATGTTTGGCAACATTTTTTATTTACTGTTCCATTAATGCGATTTATTCAAAAAGAAAATCCAAATATTTTATATGCTGGAGCATATACAATGCTTAATACACATGAAATAGCTTGTATATCAGGTTTAGCAGCTGCACATGAACTTGGAGCACCATATCCATTTGAAAAAGATTCTTTAGCTGTTAAACAATTTGATTTATATATGAATTTTGTATATGGAAAATGTCGAAATGGTAAAAAAACATTTGTACAACGATTGACAACATTCTTATTAACAATATTACTTTGGTTTGCAGTATTAATTCGAAAACGATTGTAATTAATGAAACTATTTTGCTTTTGTTTTTTTTTTTAATATAAGCTTAAGAAAAACATTTAGTATGAGAAATTAATGAAAATAACTTATGAATTTTCGTAAGAGAAACAGTATCTCTACAATATTAAACTGAGAATTCGAACTCTTTCCGGGATATTTCGAATTCATTAGGAACTGCAAAATACATATAGGACCGATTCAATATTGATGAGTTATTTGAAGGATTTTCCTCATGAGTTATATGAGTAAGAGAGGTCTATATACAAAAATAATTCAACTGACAGTATTGTCTAACAGAAGAAAAAAAAAGTAATTTAAAATAGAAATAAACTATGCGAATCATTTTCTGTCAGATCATTTATTAAAAACTACACGAGTTAATTATTATTCCTCGAACACTTAGTTACTTTCATATTGGTATCCGTATCAACACTCAGATCAGAATAAATAAAATTGTAGACCAGTATGAACTCATTCTACAATTTTCTCCTTCTCAAATATTCAAAAATAATTTGTTGTCAAAGTAAGTTGATAAATATGTATTATAATGAATTTTATTTTATTGAATAGTTAAATGTATATTTTCTTACAGAAAATAGATGAAAAAAAAAACAAGAAAAATCTAGACTAATCGATAAGAGTTCTGGTTCATAAAGTCACAATCACTGGTGACTTTTCTGACATATAGAATACATCTAGCAAATTCAAAAAAAACGAATTTTAATATTTCATTTTCTTATTAAATCATTCTTCTATGATTGACCATAATGTTTTTCACGATACTTTGAATCCCAACTATTGATTAATGGCATAACTAGAAAAAATGTGATAGAGAGGCAGTTTTTCCTGGGACTATGTCGGTACACTGTAATCAAGTGCTTTTTCAGGGAGACTTAACAGTTTATTGACAAGTTAATTTATGAAATATTTTTCGATTTTTCTCAACAGAAAACGAGCTGATACACCTTATATGAACTTCAAAACTCATTTTTATAATCACGACCGCCTTTCCTTTTCCTTATATTCTTAGATCTATCATTGACTATGAATAACTCTTCATTTATGCTAACATCCCATGTGTCGCTTTTATTTCTAAGTTGCTAGTAGTGACAATTATTTAAACATCCAATCAAAATTCACTTTTAGAACAATAATGATGAAAAAATAACGATCGATAATAAATCATCAGCATCATTTTGATTATATTATTTCAGATAGACTATTATTTATGGATCCACCACCACTTTTAAGTAGTGCATTTCCATTACCACCCATGGGTTATATTGAACTATTTAGTGATGATAGTATTCGTCAAAATAATAAAATCTTACAACCACCACCACCTATTGAAGTAAATATTTTGTTTGATTATTAATATTAATTAAAGTTTTTTTTTCTGTTTTTATAGGGTCCTTATGAATTATTTGGTCTTTATGTTAATGGTATTGATCATTCGGAACCAATAATACGTTCATTAGCAACTCAACAAATTCAACGTGTTTATACACGTCCTGATGATTATAAAGGTGAATTAAAAAAATTATGTTTTGCTATATTAACAAATTATCTTGATTTATTACAAATTGTTTCACGTTCAACTGTAACACCAAGTTCTGATAGTGGAAATATAACATTACGTGAACAAAAATTACAAGAAATTGAATTACTTTTTATAAATATTCATCATTTAATAAATGAATTACGACCACATCAAGCACGTGAAACACTTCGTGTTATACTTGAAGAACAAAAACAACAACGTGAAAAAACAAGTGATAAACTTTATTCATTTTTAAATCGTATTGTTGATGTTTTAAATTCAGCTGTTTATTCACTTAATGATCATGTACCTAAAGTTGTTAATTAAATAAGAAAACAAAAAAAAAAAAGAACCGAAGAAATTATTCGGTGTGTACTATAAGGAAATTTAATATTTGTTTTCTTTTTCTGTTTATTGTTTAACGTTAATTATCTTGCAAAATAAACACTTAAAATTATTTTTGTTTAACATTTAAAAATTTTACTCTATCTTTTAATTTTAGATAAAAACTTTTTTCATTCTTGTTTTTGTGAAACGAAAAGCAAATATCAGTATGGTGTCATCGACCATTGAGTATTCGAAAACTATGGTATACAGAATGTTTAGTAAACTCTGAATTTGAACAATAACGAATTTATATGCAAACAAGAAATGTTTTCTAACAACTCGTATCAATGTTTCAAATAACATAATATTAGGTGAAGTTTTTCTTGTAAGAATAGTAATATAAATAGTAAGATTTTATTAAGAAAAAGAAAAATTCTATATTTAATTGGCTAACTATTATGTAACTAGCGGAGTTATCGGTCAAGAACGTTCGGACAGCTTTTCGCTTTAAGAGTATTATAAGACTGCATAGATTTGCATTCAGTTTCAATGTCTACAAGTCCAACAGTTAGAATCGTGGTGAATCTGATGAGTTCACTGTAATTGTGATAATTTAGCAGAATGACGAAAGAGATTTTCTAAGAAATTCTCAAAAATTAATACGACAATCGTTGACTTTCAGCTTTAATAGACATCTTTGTTTTATATTAATAACATCTCGTTATTGGAAAACAAAAATGATAATAATATCAGACATACAGAGAAGAGGAGATCGGACAAATTCTGACTGCAGTCAACCACACCAGAAGTCTTGATTTATAAAATAGTTCGCTTACAACTATAGAATATTTAACTATCTGTAGCTCTGATTGAGACAACTTTTTTTTTCTCGTAGTTCTTGTCATTGAGATCGAGACTAAAACTTGGTCTCACACATCTTTATTCAGGATATAGTCTGATCCATCAATGACTCGTGATTCAATAAAAAAAAAACTCGTTATTCTATTTCGAATGCTTGAGCATCCTATTGTTCTATTTATATAACTATTATTAAAAGAGAAGATGTCATTCAATGAATTGTTATATGAAACTTCGACTTGAGTAGTACTCAAGTCTCTTATAGGCACATTCAGCTAGAAATCATTTCCTATATGTATATTAATTAGTTTTCGTCGAAGTTCAAACCTCATGAAATATTCTGGAACTTAAAAAGAGATTTCATCAATTTGTTAATTTAAAATTGATCATACAATCGACAGATGATTTTTTGTTTTTCTAATATTTTCATAGAAACTCAATATATTGATGTGTAGTTTTTATTGAAATGAAGGTTCTCTAGTACAAAACAGTTTTAGTTCAAAGTTGAATATACACTTCATCCTCTTTGATTATGGAATTTATATTTAGTTTTATATGACGTGTACGATTAAAACATATTAAATCTCTTTTTAAAAGATTCAGACACTATGAATGATTATTTTATAGAAAAATATGCATGAATGACAAAAAAAAAAAAGATAGAATACGATTCGATTGTATTACGACATCATATAGTAACCTTCATAACTAATAGCTTTATTGAGAAAGCGTAAAAGGTTAATAGCTGTCTACATGTTATTTTAGTAAACAATAATGAAGATATTATATTATCTAATATAGTCGTCAAAGATATGCATGTATTCAATTTATTAAGTTTTGAACAAGATATGTAACACTAAACTCATCCTTCTTTAATTTAATATTAGTTCAGAATAACAATTTGAAAATACTTACTTTTATTTCTATCAAATTAACTTTGCAGAGTTACTACATATTCTATGCTCATTATCAACGAATTTCAAATAAACTAATTATAAAGTATTTGATTGTAGATAATATGGAGCCTTGTACAACAATAAAAAGTTCAATTTTAAAAACAAAATCTGGTCGTACAACCTATCATATTCGTAATTTTTCACTTTCTGATCGTTTTGATATTCAACGTTTATGTACTGAAGAACGTGTCGAAATTCTCACACCATTATCTCGTGCTTGTTTTCGTAATCGATTTACATTTATTCTTCTTCTTATATGCATTATTATATCTATGTTTATTTTTTCTCGTCTTCTTATTTCATTTTTAATTCCTCCAGCATTAATAACTTCATTTATTACGTATCGTATTACAAAATTAAAACATAAAATTAAAGCACCATTTCAACATTCATACATTGAATACACAGATAAATTATCACGCCGACGTATACTTGTTGCTGTTATAACAGTTGAAGATGATAATGTTATGCATGAACAAGATATTGTTGGATTTATTTCTTTTTCATCTCATCCATCTGAACGACAATCAGCATTGATAACGCATTTATTTGTAACAAAAAATTATCGGCATCAAAATATTGCTCATAATCTTTTACAAACATGTCGTCGAGTTATATCTGAAGAAACACAATATCAATCTTTATATGTAGTTTGTTCAGCTTATCAAACAGATGGATATAAATTTTTACTAGATCATCATTTTTTTCTTGTAAATACATGGACAACATGTGTTTTTGTACCAAGTATAACAGACGAACAAAAAATGTTGACTACAACACGTTTAGCACCTTTATGAATGCAATTTTTTTAATGTTTTTTTTTCTTTTGTGATGTCAGATAATCTAGTCATTTTATTTGTGTGGAATTTCATTAATAAATATTAATATTAGGAAACATATTCTTAATGAAAAATGTTTTTTTTTCTTGGCTATCAAATATTGATTATTATAAGAATGGAAATAAACGAAACTTCTATTTTATATTCAATAGATAAGCGATTTAATGCAAAGTTATTGTGAAAATGAATGAAAATTTAACTGGCAGACTGGAAATACATAAACTATTTTTTCAAGAACAAAAATTGAACATGTAATTATTATAATAACACATTTTATTGTAAACTGATGTGTTTTTTTTCAAATAATGTGATGCTGACAGACATAAATTAACGGGAAAAATTTCGTTCTAATTATCAGTTTTAGTCAAATAAATCCATCGACCGTAGTACATGTAGAACAAGTTCAAGTCTAGAGCTAAGATTATCTATCTAAAATAATTATTAGAGCAGATCAGAATTTATATAGAACTATCCTACCTCTAT